AGAACAGATTTAATTGATAGGTTTTAAAAAATCACGAGAATACGAAGTACTTTAAACTGTATAAAAAGTTAAAAAAAGTTTTTTATTAAATTGGCTAAGCCACAATGTCGATCATCCAAATTCGGGTTTGTCCACCATGCTCATAAATACAGTATATGTACGTAATAAGCAATGAATACTTTTAACCTAATTTTTCAAATTTATTACAATAAATAAATGTCGAAAGAAAATTTTGAGATAGTTGATGAGTTTCAAGATCAAAGGTACAAGAAATTTGGAATTTGTATTCATTGCAAACTATTTAATACCCATTTCGCTTGGTGTCGATCATGTGACCCCTTGAGATTAGTTGAGAATTGCACAACTAGTGGAAACAAAGAAATTGATGATTATATTAAGGAAAAGCAACTTGATGCACATGCTAATTATGAAGTTATCGAATGGATTCCTTTTGACAGACTAAAAAATATTCAAAAAATTGGCGAAGGTGGTTTCAGTACAGTACATTCTGCCATTTGGATAGATGGAAGACGTTTTCCTAAAAGAATTGGCAGAAATAACTATATTAAATCTCGTAATGAATCTTGCATGGTTGCACTTAAATGTTTATATAACATTTCTAATTTTTTAGAAGAGGTAATATGCGATATATTTCTACTTTTTTCTTGTTTAAAATTTTGAACAACATATATTAATTACAAATAAATTAATATTCAAGTTTAAGGCACTAATTGAATGCCAACTAGCATTATGTTCGTTATCTACATTTGGTTTAACACAGAATCCGGTATCTATGGAATATATGATTGTGATGGAATACGCAAATGAAGGAAATCTTCGAAGTTATTTATCATCAAATTTTAAAACCCTTAGTTGGAGTAAAAAACTTTATATCCTTCATAATTTAGTCATCGATTTGGGTAGAATCCACATGATAGGATATATGCATCAGGATTTTCATAGTGGAAATATATTGCTTATTTTTGATAATAGCACACAAAGTAATTATTTTAAGATTATTATTGCTGATTTAGGATTATCAAGAAAAAAAAATATAAATACTAATGAAAAAGGATTATTTGGCGTTCTTCCATATGTTGCTCCTGAGGTTCTATGTGGTAAATCGTACACTGAAGCTGCTGATATATATAGTTTAGGTGTAATTATGTCAGAAATTTCTACTGGCAAGCCTCCTTATTTTTATCAATTACATGAGTGTGGGATTACAGAAAGTGAACTCGCTGTAAAAATTTTAAACGGATTACGCCCTGAATTTGCTCAAGGAACCCCCAAATGTTACATTAAATTAGCATTGCAATGTATGGATAATAATCCATTAAGACGTCCAACAGGGAATATTATTTCAAATAAGATTGGAAGTTGGTATGATAAATTAAATACAGAAAAAGATAGTAATGAAAATGAATCTGATAGTGATTTTAGTGATGCTAATTTTTATGATGAATATGATGAGATTGACGTTATTGATGAAATCGATGTTAATAAAGATTACAATAACATGGATGAATATAGTGATGATACTAATGATAAAGATGATGATAACATTTATGATGAATTTAAGTCAGCAGATGAAATCACATCGCTCTTTTCAACTAATTTCAAGCGAAATCCAAATGTTGAATATAAAAGTAAATTTATAAATACCGATCACTTGGCAAAACAATTTAATTTATTTCCACAAAATAATGGTAAGTTACTATAAGATATTAGTCATACCATGAAAATTTTTCGTCAGAGGTAGTAGTAAATGAACTATATTAACTCCGACGAGAAGAATTTCGCATCAGTATGACCGATGTCAATATCAATATTTTTTTTATTACTTTGCCGAAAGCTACGGGCACAACATGTTAGAGCTAATATTAGGGTAAGCACATTTTAGTAATGTTGTGCCTGTACAATTGCCAATATTTTAAACAATTCAACACATGATCATATACTATATAATATTAATTAGTATGTATTTTTTTTATTAATATTTTTTTTTGTTTTTAGATTCTTTTACAATTGATATTTCCGATTCTATAGTAGAATTATCAGGTAATTTATAATGAACTATTACCGTAAAAAGTAAATATATTTACTAATTCACTAATATATTGCAATATTTAAATTTAGATGATAACTTATAAAATAAAATAATATTTTAAAATGAGAAAATTTATTAGACAATTGTTCCCCCTTGGGATGCAATATGAAGCCTCCAGCCAGCCATAAGGTTATAATTAAGGTTAGAATTGGCGTAGCGTAAAATTGCGTAAGTAACATTTATATTACGCTAGTAAAATTTTGCCCTGGGTGGAAATAATTTACTCTTTAAAGTGCCAATTTTAAATTAATATTTTTTTTTTGAAAATTAATACTTTCAAAATTAAGTGACAAGTTTTTTCAAAAATATTATACGAATATAAAAAATATATATAAATTTTTATAATATATGTAGCCTATAGCTAGTAGTAAATATATATTATTTCAGCACACCTAGTAAAAGTGCAGATACATAACTAAGTGTCAAAAATTATCCAATATGTAAACTTATTTTATAATTAACTTATAATTAATTTATAAAATAATGCTGCCTACTTTTGTTATCAATACATCTTTACTTATAAACAATTGCTAAAAATAGATAATAAAAGATGATAGGTTGAAATTTTTGATTTATATCAATTCAGTATTGTATTTCTGTAACAAAAAACCTTCCTAAATTATAGCAAAATTATGAATTCTAGTAATTAATATTTCTAATTTCTATTCAATAATAAAATTATTAAGTGTAATTTGTATAATTTGTATAAGCTTTTGGTATACAGATGCTTAGAAAAGAAACAGCAAAAAAAAAACAAATTAATATTAAAAGTATACATTTATATGTCAAATAATACGTTTTAAAAATCAAGATCTCTAGCCTAAAATGTTATATAAATAGCAAAAATTGAGTATATACCTTTTGGGTACGGTACAGTACAAAGTATCCGGTAGGGTACAGTACAGAAAAGTGACCGTACCCAGATAAATTTTTTTGAGCAGGGTACACAAAAAAAATAATAATTACCGTACCAAGT